TTCGCAAAAAATGACTGGAATGCTTCGAAACCCTCTCCTCAACGTCGGAATTGCACGAGATCCTGACCCTGAGACAGTCTTAATTTTAAACTAATATAATTATGCAAGTGAAGCTCCTCTTAAACTAATTTTTTGAAAATCTTCCTTTCTTAAAAATTATCTGAATCACTGCTTTTACGATCTTGAAATGTCTAAATCTAGAAGTTTTCGAAAGCCTTTGTAGAGGTACTTCCGAAATTGCAAGAATCCTTTCTGAAGCCCTTTGAAACCTTTTTAATTCTTTCTGAAAACTTTGAAACCCTTTAAAGCTATTGAATATTTGAAAATGTTTTAAAATGTCCAACACTGCATGAGACCTCGGAAGCACTTTAAAATCTTCCAACTTCAGGACACCCTTTTTGATCTTTTCCAGACTGTTGTAGAAAATATTTCCTAGAAAAGGGGGCGTATTTCCCAAAATTAAGGAGGAAATCTTCCCATAAACGAACTAACTAACTTGGCCTACATCTTTCCCAATCGCAGAAAAGACGGCTAAAGTGTTGGTGTGTGAATAATCCTCAGATTTTTCACACTAGCCAATGGAAACAACTCTTCAATGTCACTTGCAAAATAAATCCTAACCAACTGAAATCTGGTAATCCGACACATTTATTCGAAAAAGATGCAATGGCGTCTCCTACCTAAAAAAGAATATATTATATTTGCTTTACGTGATGTTCCAACCACCAACTTCATCAGATTGGCGCTGTGTTTGGAGGCGAAAATACATGACGTATCCTAGTCACAACACCCCATCTTCTGGTGTGTTAATATTATCATATTTGAATTTGATGACGTATTTAGGACCGCCGTAACCAATTATATGTATCATACCTCACTTACATTCGTGCTCTTTATATGCAAATCGAAAATTCGCACTTCGAAGTGCGATTCTCGCACCGCGATTACAAATTTCCCATTTTGTAGTCATAACTCGTACGTGTCACGCGTGAGGAGCATGCCCCTTTCCCAGGATACGTACAATCTCTCATGCTTCTAAAAATAAGAATGCGACTTGGGGTTGAACTGAATTGAAAATACAGGGATGTAGATTCGGAATGAATATATATGGCGTAGATATATCTTATTTCCTGCAACGTGGCAATTGAACACGCACAAGCGGGATAAAGCGGTATTTTTTAAAAACGCGTAACACGTCGTCTTTGCAAAGTACGCGGACATTTATATATAATTCCGATACGTATTGATTTTTTATCAGAAAAAATGTAATATAGAACGTCACCCGTTTCTTATAAAATAGTTGAGCAACCCCGGAACGGCATTCCTTGCGTCGTTTACCAAACTACCACTATTTAATGGAATTCTAACACAGAGAAGCTAATAATAGTAGTCGTGCCGAAATGCATATAAATTGCGGTACACGAATTTCAACTACAATAAAATCTATACGGCATACACGTGCACAGCATTTGGAATTTTTTCGACCTTTTGTCCATTACATCTGACTAGCTGTCGTGAGAGAATGTGAACTTAATATTTTATAATCTGGAATTAATTCTAGTTAGGCATCAAAACAGATTACACTAATACCAAACAGCCCTCCACTAACCCTAATGAAACATCCCTGACACCCTTGTCAACATTGAGGTGCTGATTAATTATGAAACCTTAAGACAAGTAAAATGTGTTCTCTGTATCTTCCTCGGGAGAAAATTGAGTTATAGCAGGTTTTTAGTTTTAATTGAAATTTTACTTGTTAATGTTAATTACTTGTCTCAAGGCAGTTTTGAAACTATCCAAGCCGTATTTACTGCAGATTTTTTTCTCCGCTCTCGAGACCATTAAATGCGCGAAATTTTGTATTCCATTTTCGCACAACCGATAGTTTAGGTCTGCGTTTTGGGCGTTAGGAGGCACAAAACTATTTTATAATTATTATTTATGCACCAATTTCGTTTTAAACTCATTAGGGCGTTATTTATATGACAAGGATTTATTCACTAATTGGAAAAATGTCTAAACGCGTTAGTTTGAAGACCGAGAATTAAATTTCGTGTCAGTCTAATGAGGGAAAACCAGGGTTACAGCCCTTTGAATTTTCTTTCTGCCTTTTCTTGAGGCCCCAAAAAAAATTGTCTCAGATCGACCGGAAAAAATATTTTGTTATGGAATAAGGCCTGTAGATTCCATAATTTCAAACAGTTCCAAGATTGGGCTACTAAATCAAAAGTTACAGCCCTTTGAATTTTCTTTCGAAATTGGTTTTTAGTCCATAACTTTTGATTGAGAAGTCTAATCGAAAAAGTACGAATCGATTTGGATTGTACGCACCAAAATTAATAAGAAAAAGTGTTTTCCCGAGAAATTTTGGTGTAGTCGATTTTTGGTAAAAAAGGAAGGTTATACACTGCCTTTTCTTGAGGCCCCAAAAAGAAATTGTCTCAGATCGACCGGAAAAAATATTTTCTTATAGAATAAGGCCTGTAGATTCCATAATTTCAAACAGTTCCAAGATTGGGCTACTAGATCAAAAGTTACAGCCCTTTGAATTTTCTTTCGAAATTGGTTTCTAGTCTATAACTTTTGATTGAGAAGTCTGATCGAAAAAGTACGAATTGTTTTGGATTCTACGCACCAAAATTAATAAGAAAAAGTGTTTTCCCGAGAAATTTTGGTGCAGTCGATTTTTGGTAAAAAAGGAAGGTTATACACTGCCTTTTTTTGAGGCCCTAAAAAAAATTGTCTCAGATCGACCCGGAAAAAAATTTTTCTTATAGAATGTGGCCTGTAGAATCCATAATTTCAAACAGTTCCAAGATTGGGCTACTAGTTCAAAAGTTACAGCCCTTTGAATTTTCTTTCGAAATTGGTTTCTAGTCCATAACTTTTGATTGAGAAGTCCGATCGAAAAAGTACGATTTGTTTTGGATTCTACGCACCAAAATTAATAAGACAAAGTGTTTTCCCGAGAAATTTTGGTGCAGTCGATTTTTGGTAAAAAGGGAAGGTTATACACTGCCTTTTTTTGAGCCCCTAAAAAAATATTGTTTCAGATCGACCCCGAAAAAAATTGTCGTATGGAATGTGGCCTGTAGAATCCATAATTTCAAACAGTTCCAAGATTGGGCTACCATTTCAAAAGTTACAGCCCTTTGAATTTTCTTTCGAAATTGGTTTCTAGTCCATAACTTTTGATTGAGAAGTCCGATCGAAAAAGTACGAATTGTTTTGGATTCTACGCACCAAAATTTCGAAGAAAAAGTGTTTTCCCGAGAAATTTTGGTGCAGTCGATTTTTGGTAAAAAAGGAAGCTTATACACTGCCTTTTTTTGAGCCCCGAAAAAAAAATGATGAAACAAAACTTCTAGACTTCATAAGAAAGCAAGCCCTTTTCAAAACCTCCGCATGCGGGAAACAGTACCTTAAGAAAGCAGGACCCCGGAAGCTCAAAACCTCACCTTAATCAATTGAAGACTTGATTTAAGGTGCTTTTGAATAATGCTTTGGTGCGTTCGCTTAATCTCTAGCAGAGCCTTTCGAAGGGTTCCTCGATGAATCTCTAGCGCAATTTATCAATTGTTATCGAATTTCTAGGAAAATCCTTTAAGAAGCTGTATATTAAGAAAGGTTTTTAATCTCTCGCTTTGACAGAATTCCTGAAGAGTTATCTCGAAAAACCTTCTGAAGAATCTCTGAAGAATATCCTGCAGTTTCTTCGTTGCAGTCGGATATGGTAGAAAATCACATGGCCAAGGTTCTTTAGAAGCACCTGTTCGTCCCAAAAGGCGCCACCACGTTCAGGGGTTGAAGGTACTCGGGCTAGATAGTAAGAATATCGTGCGAGAGCAACTATTCCCAACCTCCCACAATTATGGGAGACTACAAGCTGCGCACGTAAAGGACTGCCTTTCTATATTTCGCAAGTTTGCCGTGTGGGTCCCGGAGGATCCTAACGACGTGGTGGCGGCCAAGCGGCTCTTGGACGTGCAGAATTTCTGGGCAAAGGTAGCTGGTGTCTCTTCCACACAGCCATGAAGAGTCTCCTCCAGGTTCTATTTGAGAAACTCTTCCTAGATAGGATCTTCTTAATGAGGTTTTTTAAAAAAAAACCCTTGCCAACCCTGAGTTGGTCAAGGAGAATCCACTCAAACCTTGGAAGATTCTATAGGAGGTCTTTCAAAACCAAACAATTTTTTCATGTTCCTCAATAGACCTTGTTCCGAAGGTTTCTTGAGGCACCTTTACCTGAGACAAGTACAATTTTAAAGGTCCTTCAACCGTGAAATCCGTTTTCGTTTCATTTACGGATATTGGAAATGGTTATAGAAGACTATATGTCTTCAAGAGACTCGGGAATATTTTAGGGAATTCACTGACACATTTTATTGGTAAACAAATTCATTGCGAAGGACTTTTTTGAATGACTCAAAAAAACCTTACTATTAATTGCTGCACGAGGTCTCTCAGGACATTTTGAGGATATTCGTCGAAAGAATTCTGACAGCAACTCCTTCAATACCCACGAAGTTTTTATTTTGATCAATGTCGAGCTTTTTGAACGAGCCACCCTTACCGATTCTTAAATCTACATCCCTATAAGATGGTCGACAGTCCCGAAGATCTTCATTTGAAACAAAACCCTCTTCTTCCACAAAAATCCGCATACGCACTGTACAATTTGCGCATGTTTCCTAAAACTGGAATGATCTACGGTGGATAATGGAAAGCGATCCTCACCGTGCACCACCTTGGTGTTAGTTCCACTCTCAAGACCTCAACACCTCCACACATCAAGGTTTATCAACCTCTAGATCTAAGAGATCTTGAGGCTTCGAGACCCTGACGCTTCAAGGCTCACTGTGAGCTCTTACACCAAGACCTCCAAGACTCGCAAACTCCCAGACCTCAGGGGCGTTAACACAACCAACCAACCACTGCCATTGGGCGGACGAAGACAAAAAGGCTAATAATTGTGGATTAAACAGAATTCTTTATTACTTTCGCACCAGGTTATTGAAGAATGGCTTCGACTTCAGCCTTCAAACGGTTGCCAGCTGTCGAGATGTACTTGTAGAAGTTCATCACAAGACTCGCCATTTGCTGCTGGGCATCTGCGGAGAGAAATTAGCGAAACTCGCCGTAATCATGGCGCCCTACCTTCGAGACTGGTCTGTATGGATTTCTGCAGCGCCTGCGCTTCGGTGCAGATGCTGTTCGCCTGCTGCTCAATGTTCGCGAACGACTTCTTCGCCGATTCCGTTATGACTCCGCCCATCAGCGCGCTGACCTGGTCGACGAAGTTGGCGAGCTGCAGCGTGATGTCCCTCTCCACGTTCCCGATGATCTCCTGCGAGTTGATGGTCTTCGTGAACTTCTCGACGTTCCTCGCTATGTCCTCGGAGAGAAAGATCACCGACTTCGAGACGTCCCTCCCGTTCGGCAGCATCTTCTTGAGGGAGTTCTGCAAGCCCTCCATTTTCGTGAGGAGGTCGTCGAGTGGTTTCGGATCGGGCGCGTTGGCGGACGGCTTCGACCGGACCTATACGAACAGCGAGCTTAGTAAAACACGCCGAAGACTGATCACTCACCTGGACTGCGGCAAGGGCTAGTATGCAGAATACGATTGATCTCATTGTTTCAGTTGTGGACTGATTGTTTATGGTGTTACGTTCGGTATTTATATCTCTTACCTATGCAAAGGTCGCAATGGAGAAAGTCGCAATTATGATGTTGACTAAGTCTAAATTTGCTCGGCGATATCGCTAATTAGCCAAACAGCTAATTTAAGTACAACAATACTATCGTCCTGTAGGTAAACGATCTGATGGAGATTACATCTTCTTTAGGAGCTTGTTTTTTCAGGGCTCTAAAGATACGATGGAAGTTTCTAAAATACCTTCCTGGAGGCTTTTGAACATGTAGGAACCCTAGAAAATCAACCAAAGCTGCAAGAATCTCTTCCAAATTTATTTAGCACCCTCTCAGGGTCCTGAGGCACTTAATATACTACAGTTTTTGAAGCGCTTTCTTTAGCTATCAGACCTTTACTACAGTTTGATAGGCACACTAGATGGTTTTGGACCTTTTTAAGGGCTTTACAAAGTTTCTGGACTATTAAGTAACCGGAAAAGTTCTGGAGTGAATAATGCAAACTGATGGAAAAAGGCCAATGGTGCCTGCCCCCTTTCTTTTGTAACTAGGTTTGAAGCCCGCTCCTCTCAATCAAGGATGAGACCCTGTTTAGCACAGATCTCTTCACCCTCCCCGGTTCCAGATACCTGTCGCCAATGATTAGGTTAAAGTGAGCGAGGTTAGATTAGAGTGCTAGTTAGGTACCTGTATCAGGAGAATATAATATGCGAGGAGGTGATTGAAGGTTAGGTTACGTTAAAGAAGTATAGATTAGCTTAGGGGTCTTAACTTTTTACAAATCTTTTATCAGGAGAATATAATATTGTAGGAGGTGGTTCAAGGTGATACAACGAATCCCTAACCTCACTAATGCTCTGTTCGCAATATACGAGCTAAATTTCCATAAGGGTATGCCACAATAAACAAGAATTTTAAATGAGCATTCGTATTATGGACATTGCAGGGTTAAGCTGCTCGGGACGGACACTCACCTAACCTAACTAGTACCTTAACCTAACTTTCAATCACCTCCTCGCACATTCTATTCTCTTGATCCAAGGTTTCTCACCTAACCTAACCACCACTCTAACCTAACCTCACTAATTCTTAAACCTAACCTTCAATCACCTCTTCGCACATTATATTCTCCTGATACAAGATTTGTACAAATTTTAGACGCCTAAAATAACCTGACCTAACCTAACTAACACTCTAACCTAACCTCACAAGTACTTTAACCCATCCTTCAATCACCTCCTCGCACATTATATTTTCCTGATACAAGATTTCTTACCTAACCTAACTAGCACCCTTACCTAACCTCACTAATATTTTAAGATAATACCCCATCACCTCCTCGCACATTATATTTTCCTGATCCAAGGTTTCTCACCTAACCTAACCACCACTCTAACCTAACCTCACTAATTCTTAAACTTAACCTTCAATCACCTCTTCGCACATTATATTCTCCTGATACAAGATTCGTCAAAGTTTAAAACGAAGTAAGACGTTGAAATTGAAATACTTCTGTGATAGCTGGGCTTACATCGTGAGCACAGTGTCCCAAAAAAATGATGGACGAGTACGGTACGGCCTCGGTAACAATTTTAGAAGTGCCTCATTGATCGCTAAGCCTCGAAATTACTTCAACGATTCAATACCAAACTTTGTCTTCAATTTTTAGAAATTTTGTATCAGGAGAATATAACGTGCGAGGACGTGTTTCTGCTCCTAATACATGGACAATCGGTTAGAAAATGTTTGTAAAATGTGTCTGGTTACCAGGAGAACATGATGGTTGTGGAGGTCTTTTCCCATCATCCACAAACGTCTTTCGACGTCAAACTTCGTCTAAAGTTTTTACAAATTTTGTATCAGGATAGCATAATGTGCGAGGAGGTGTTTCAGCACCTAATACACAATGAATTAGTTAGAATTTTAGTACAATTTTTCTGCTTTTAGATTGCGTGAAGGCGGCGTGGTCAGATTACAGCGTTGCCAGAAAGACTTTATAAGATGCCTACAGGAAAAGGGCGTAGCCAAAAAACTTTTTGAATGAGCCTACATGATGCGGGCGTGCCCAGAAAAGAGTTGGAAGAGAAGAAGAGAAGAGGGAGTGACCAGAAAAGTTTTAGATGGCGCCTAAGAGAAGACCGTCCCAAGTGATAGCACACACCGTCTTCTACTAAGCATTCAGTAGGTTGAACCTGTTTAATATCGTAGAAGTATAAGTGAGGTTCGGTTAGAGTACTAGTTAGGCTAGTCAGAAATCGTCTATCACGAGAATATAATATTCGAGGAGGTGATTCAAGGTGATAAAACGAATCCCTAACCTCACTAATATAGTACAGATTTTATGACGATTTTGGTAATATACATATATTATCTGTTGGCGAAGTACGAGGTAAATTTCCGCAATAAATAAGAATTTCAAATAGACATTGGAGGGTTAAGTTTTAGCTCTGAGCGGACTCTCACCTAAACCAGCATTCCACCCTAACTTTGAATCGCCTCCTCGAACATTCTCTTCTCCTGATACAAGGTTTGCAACAACGTTAGACGCCTAAAGTCATCTGACCTAACCTAACCAGTACTCTATCCTAACCTCACTAATACTTTAACTTAACCTTCATTCACCTCCTCGCAAATTATGTTCCCCTGATACAGGATTTCTTACCTAACCTAACTACCACTCTAACATAACCTCACTAATACGTTAACTTAACCTTCAATCACCTCTTCGCACATTATATTCTCCTGATACAAGATTTGGAAAAATTTAAGACGTTCAAGGTAATCTGACCTAACCTAACTAGCACTCTATCCTAACCTCACTAATACTTTAACCTAACTTTCATCCACCTCCTCGCACAGTATGTTCTCCTGATACAAAATTTCTTACCTAACGTAACTGCCACTCTAACCTGACCTCACTAATACTTTAACTTAACCTTCAATCACCTCTTCGCACATTATATTCTCCTGATACAAGATTTGGAAAAATTTTAGACGCCCAAAGTAATCTGACCTAACCTAACTAGCACTCTATCCTAACCTCACTAATACTTTAACCTAACTTTCATCCACCTCCTCGCACAGTATGTTCTCCTGATACAAAATTTCTTACCTAACGTAACTGCCACTCTAACCTGACCTCACTAATACTTTAACTTAACCTTCAATCACCTCTTCGCACATTATATTCTCCTAATACAAGATTTGGAAAAATTTTAGACGCCCAAAGTAATCTGACCTATTCTAACTAGCACTCTATCTTAACCTCACTACTTTAACCTAACCTTCATTCACCTCTTCGCAGATTATGTTCCCCTGATACAAGATTTCTTATCTAACCTAACTACCACTCTAACCTAACCTCACTAATACTTTAATTTAACTTTCAATCTCCTCTTCGCACATTATATTCTCCTGATACAAGATTTGGAAAAATTTGAGACGCCCAAAGTAATCTGACCTAACCTAACTAGCACTCTATCTTAACCTCACTAATACTTTAACCTAACCTTCATTCACCTCTTCGCACATTATATTCTCCTGATACAAGATTTGGAAAAATTTAAGGCGCCCAAAGTAATCTGACCTAACCTAACTAGCACTATCCTAACCTCACTAAAACTTTAACTTAACTTTCATCCACCTCCTCGCACGTTATGTTCTCCTGATAACAAAATTTCTTAACTAACGTAACTGCCACTCTAACCTGACCTCACTAATACTTTAACTTAAGCTTCAATCACCTATTCGCACATTATACTCTCCTGATACAAGATTTGGAAAAATTTTAGACGCCCAAAGTAATCTGACCTAACCTAACTAGCACTCTATCTTAACCTCACTACTTTAACCTAACCTTCATTCACCTCTTCGCACATTATATTCTCCTGATACAAGATTTGGAAAAATTTTAGGCGCCCAAAGTAATCTGACCTAACCTAACTAGCACTCTTTCTTAACCTCACTAATACTTTAACCGAAACTTCATTCACCTCTTCGTAGATTATGTTCCCCTGATACAAGATTTCTTACCTAACCTAACTACCACTCTAACCTAACCTCACAAATACTTTAACTTAACCTTCAATCACCTCTTCGCACATTATAATCTCCTGATACAACATTTGGAAAAATTTAAGACGTTCAAAGTAATCTGACCTAACCTAACTAGCACTCTATCCTAACCTCACTAATACTTTAACCTAACTTTCATTCACCTCCTCGCACAGTATGTTCCCCTGATACAAAATTTCTTACCTAACGTAACTGCCACTCTAACCTGACCTCACTAATACTTTAACTTAACCTTCAATCACCTCTTCGCACATTATATTCTCCTGATACAAGATTTGGAAAAATTTTAGACGCCCAAAGTAATCTGACCTAACCTAACTAGCACTCTATCCTAACCTCACTAATACTTTAACCTAACTTTCATCCACCTCCTCGCACAGTATGTTCTCCTGATAACAAAATTTCTTAACTAACGTAACTGCCACTCTAACCTGACCTCACTAATACTTTAACTTAAGCTTCAATCACCTATTCGCACATTATATTCTCCTGATACAAGATTTGGAAAAATTTTAGACGCCCAAAGTAATCTGACCTAACCTAACTAGCACTCTTTCTTAACCTCACTAATACTTTAACCGAAACTTCATTCACCTCTTCGTAGATTATGTTCCCCTGATACAAGATTTCTTACCTAACCTAACTACCACTCTAACCTAACCTCACAAATACTTTAACTTAAGCTTCAATCACCTATTCGCACATTATATTCTCCTGATACAAGATTTGGAAAAATTTTAGACGCCCAAAGTAATCTGACCTAACCTAACTAGCACTCTTTCTTAACCTCACTAATACTTTAACCGAAACTTCATTCACCTCTTCGTAGATTATGTTCCCCTGATACAAGATTTCTTACCTAACCTAACTACCACTCTAACCTAACCTCACAAATACTTTAACTTAACCTTCAATCACCTCTTCGCACATTATATTCTCCTGATACAAGATTTGGAAAAATTTTAGGCGCCCAAAGTAATCTGACCTAACCTAACTAGCACTCTTTCTTAACCTCACTAATACTTTAACCGAAACTTCATTCACCTCTTCGTAGATTATGTTCCCCTGATACAAGATTTCTTACCTAACCTAACTACCACTCTAACCTAACCTCACAAATACTTTAACTTAACCTTCAATCACCTCTTCGCACATTATAATCTCCTGATACAACATTTCGAAAAATTTTAGACGCCCAAAGTAATCTGACCTAACCTAACTTGCACTCTATCCTAACCTCACTAATACTTTAACCTAACCTTCATTCACCTCTTCGTAGATTATGTTCCCCTGATACAAGATTTCTTATGTAACCTAACTACCGCTCTAACCTAACCTCACTAATACTTTAACTTAACCTTCAATCACCTCTTCGCATATTATATTCTCCTGATACAAGATTTGGAAAAATTTTAGGCGCCCAAAGTAATCTGACCTAACCTAACTAGCACTATCCTTACCTCACTAAAACTTTAACTTAACTTTCGTCCACCTCCTCGCACGTTATGTTCTCCTGATAACAAAATTTCTTAACTAACGTAACTGCCACTCTAACCTGACCTCACTAATACTTTAACTTAAGCTTCAATCACCTCTTCGCACATTATATTCTCCTGATACAAGATTTGGAAAAATTTTAGACGCCCAAAGTAATCTGACCTAACCTAACTAGCACTCTTTCTTAACCTCACTAATACTTTAACCGAAACTTCATTCACCTCTTCGTAGATTATGTTCCCCTGATACAAGATTTCTTACCTAACCTAACTACCACTCTAACCTAACCTCACAAATACTTTAACTTAACCTTCAATCACCTCTTCGCATATTATATTCTCCTGATACAAGATTTGGAAAAATTTTAGACACCGAAAGTAATCTGACCTAACCTAACTAGCACTTTATTTTAACCTCACTAATACTTTAACATAACCTCCATTCACCTCTTCACATGTTCCCCTGATTCAAGATTTTTTACCTAACCTAACTACCACTCTAACATAACCTCACTAATACTTTAACTTAACCTTCAATCACCTCTTCGCACATTATAATCTCCTGATACAACATTTGGAAAAATTTTAGACGCCCAAAGTAATCTGACCTAACCTAACTTGCACTCTATCCTAACCTCACTAATACTTTAACCGAAACTTCATTCACCTCTTCGTAGATTATGTTCCCCTGATACAAGATTTCTTACCTAACCTAACTACCACTCTAACCTAACCTCACAAATACTTTAACTTAACCTTCAATCACCTCTTCGCACATTATAATCTCCTGATACAACATTTGGAAAAATTTTAGACGCCCAAAGTAATCTGACCTAACCTAACTTGCACTCTATCCTAACCTCACTAATACTTTAACCTAACCTTCATTCACCTCTTCGTAGATTATGTTCCCCTGATACAAGATTTCTTACCTAACCTAACTACCGCTCTAACCTAACCTCACTAATACTTTAACTTAACCTTCAATCACCTCTTCGCATATTATATTCTCCTGATACAAGATTTGGAAAAATTTTAGACACCGAAAGTAATCTGACCTAACCTAACTAGCACTCTATCCTAACCTCACGAATGCTTTAAACTAAGATTCAATCACCTCCTAGCACATTATATCCGCCTGATACAAGATTTGTGAAAGTTTGAGACGAAGTAACAGGACAATATACATAAGGTGTTTTTAGTACACGAACTATTAGTTAGAAAATTCTGCCTATCAGGCGAGCATGATGGTTGAGGTGGCCTTTTCCCCATCACCCACAAAAATCTTTCAAAGCCAAACTTAGTCTTAAATTTTTCAAATTTTGTATCAGGAGAACATAATGTGATAGGAAGTGTTTATGCTCTTGATACACGAACTATCAGTTACAAAATTCTGGTAAAATTTGTCTGGCTACCGGGAGAACATGATGGATGAGGAGGTCTTTTTCCATACCTCACAAACATCTTTCAACGCCAGATTTCGTTTTATACTTATTCAAATTTTGTATTAGGAGAACATAATGTGCGAGGAGGTGTTTCTGCTCCTATTACATGGACTATCAGATAGAAAATTATTGTAAAAATTATCGGGCTACTAGGAAATCGATAACGAGAGATCGAGTCATCTCGGAAGTTGGTCCCGCTACTCCGGTGGAGCCCTCTCCCTCACCTGGCGCAGTCGGAGCAGTTAAGGATGTGACGTGCGAGACCTCCGTGTGAGCTTGAAGGTTGAAGGTTGAAGGTTCCCCCCCTCCATCAGGTCAATAACTGTAGATATTTATAATGCACCTCGACTGAGGCTCAGTGATGTCCTCCTCCGGGTGTCACTCCGGAAGACCTCAAACCCGCCGCAGCGACTTGCCTTGGATTCATACTGTACCTTCAGGTTTCTTCTTATAAATGAGAGGACAAAGAAATAAATGGTTCTTCCTGTGAGTTGCAAGGGTCAGTTCCATTGGGGGCGATTTCCTTAAAAACGAGATCTCTCCAATTGAGATATTTTCCTTTACCGCTGTTCTTTCGGGGGTAAATATGCGGAACTCGGTTTTTCAAGCGGGAAGGTGAGTTGACCACTACCTGTCTCCAATCGCTTTAGCCTTTCGAAGTCATCTGTTGATGGCATCTTCAACTGATGGGTTAGCGAAAACGATTGCATACGTAACGCTGAATGATAACCTTTTATCAGCGACCTCTTTATTGCAAAACTGAACTCACTTGGACCATGTCAAAATTGGCACGTAAATTGTTATCACGTGGAGCAACTCACTGTTCTCTTTACCAAAAAAAGACCCTCTACATAAATTTGTTTATTAAAGTTAAATACAAAAATAGGTATCGTGGTGTAGTAACGTTATCAGTCGCTTTAATGTTTGGGTGCCTGTTCAGCGATTGCCTTGTCCAAATCGGCCTTTAAACGTTCACCGGCGCTTTTCAACATTCCGAAGAAATCTTCGGCCACCTTCTTCATGCCTTCTTGGGCGTCTGCGGGGGAAAAAAACGCGGTTAACCTCCCGAAAACCTAAGCGAAACAACACTCACGTTCCAAGGATGGCATGAGCGCCTCCTCGACCTTTTTGCCTTCGGCGAAGATGTTGTTGATGTTGGTCTCGACGTGCTTCCTGACTTCCTCGCCTTTCTTGACGGTGTCTTCGCCGACCAATCCCTTGATGTAGGCGACTGACTCGCTGATCCTCTCGGAGGCTTCCTTGACCAACTTCTCGATGACTGGCTTGTTCTTGTCGGCCTAAAGTGGAGAAAGGGGTTGGAGGAGGTTTTGGCAAGTGTTTTGGGGTACTAACCTGTTCGGTCAAGTCCCTGGTTCCCTTCTCGACGGTGGTGGCGAAAGCCTTGGATACATCAACGAGAGCCTTGTCAATGTCCTTGTTTCCGGGCAGCACTTTCTTGATGGTTGCCTCGATGTCCTTGCGAACGGTGTCGACATTTTCCATGAACTGTTCCAAGCCGGTCTTCTCGGTCGGTGGCGTCTTCTTGGGTCTAGCCACGACGGCCTAAGACACAATTCTCAGTCTCTGTCGCTCACAACAGTGGCGTACGTACCTGAACGGCGAGGGCTGCGAGGAAAAAGTAGATAAACTTGGCCATGATGCTTCTGCTTTCACACAAACGTGATTGTGACGGAGGTGCACGCGTAATTTATACTCGGAGGGATCTAACCTTTTGTCCGATGATAGTCTTATCGGCGACCTATGGTTAACGTGAGTAATACGTGTATTTTGTGTGAACCAAGTCAATTTTGATAAGGGCCCGCCATTTCACAACGACTTCATCAAATTGACGGACGTCACGAAACTGGCAGTCACTGCGAAATTTGGCAACAGTGATCTTCCAATGATAAAGACTATCGCTGTAAATCTGAGGAGCATCGGTTTGTGCTTCACCAGAAATTGATTCTTCTGATGCTTAGAAGCAACTCTTTGGAGGTCTAGACGCCGCCGAAGTTCTCTTCTTCTAAGCAATCTGCAAGGTCTTGTGAGATCCTCCAAGGGATTCTTTTAAAGAATTCTCAAAAATTAAATATTGCACAACATTCTTCAAGTAATTGTCAGGAAATTGTTTAAGGAACCCTTCTATCAATTTTTCAAATGACTATCCAATAGCTTTTAAGCTATTGGCTCCCTTTTGGGGGAGAGTTTACCACCGGAGAGTTTGGGGGTATGTATTTTCCCTTTGCAGTACCCCCCAGGAAAAAGAGACGTGATAACTCTCATGGTCTCATGGTAGTCTTTGCAAAAAGGCAATCGATTCCTCCTGTGCGTAGGGGTATTCTATACATCAGCCAGAGGCCCCGGTGGTACTTTCTGTACAAACAAGCACGATCATTGTCCTAAAGAGTTTAGGACCAAAGGGCGGGGAATACCACCCAAAGAAAAAGGGATTTGATAACCTTTCTTCAAAAGGAAGTGTCACGGTAGCTTTTGGAAAACGGTAATCGCTTCTTCCTGTGGTAGGCGGTATTCCATATCTTCCAGACCCCCCGGTGTTACATTCTGTATCATACGAATAATCTTGACCTAAACAGTTTGGGGGTGAGATTAGCAGCGGAAGATCTGGGGGCTATGGAATACCCCCTAGGAAAAAGGGACTTGATAACCTTTCTTCAAACGAAAGAGAAAGCTTTTGGAGTAGTTTGTGGTAGGGGCATTCCAACCCCCCGGCTCTCCGGTGTTAAATTTTGTATCAAACAAACAAGCATGCCGATTGTTCTAAACGTTTTTAGGGAGAGTTTAGCACCGGGGGTCTGGAGGGTATAGAAAACCCCACAGGTGAAGGAGACCTTTCTTCAAATGAAAGTGTCATGGTAGTTTTTGGAAGAATGTCATCGATTCCTCCGGTGGTAGGGGGTATTGCATATCCCCCTGGACCCCCTGGTATTACATTTTGTAGGGCAGCGCCGAGAGGACTGGATATTCTTCCCAGGAAAGGATAAATCAATGGGTGACATTCTGCTGAAAGCTCTAAACCTTTTGGATGCAAACGTAGCACCGTGGGGTTTAGGCGCTTGGATTACGCTCCAAAAGGGAATTACTTATGCTCTCTTCTCGCACGTTTCTTTTAAAATGCTAAAGCAACAAAGGTTTTGGGTTAGGTCGTACTAAAAAAATACCTGGAGGGAAATGGAAGTCCCAGCAAGAAACGGGGGTATCGATTCTCCTCTTGTTTCCTAAACGTTTGGAAGAAAACGTAGCACCGAGGTGCCCTTTTCTGTCAAAAGGTGGCAACACACACAGCGCCGGGTGCTGGACGGTATGTGATCCCCCCCCCCCCTCCAAGGGAAGTTAATATCAGTAGTTTTTCTTCAAAGGTATCATCGGAGTGCTGTAAGATGTAAACATATAAAAGGAAAACGTAGCACCAGGAGGTCTGAAAGGAAAAGGAGATGCGATTATAAATTCTTTGAAGGGGAATACCTCATTCCCCATTGTCATTTCCAGAACCCATGAACGTACCGAGGGTAAGAGGGAAAAGGATTTATCGAGTCGTCCCTCTGCTAGGGGGTATTCAAGACTCCCGGGCATATGCAATACTTCTTTGCAAAGAGAGTCTTTTAATTTTCCAAAAAACAATTATGAAAGTGCCGAGGGCTTGACTTTTTGAGAAGAAAAGTGATACCGGGAGTTCGGGGGGGGGGGGGGGGTATGTACCGGGTGATCCAATAAGACTGTTCCTCGCTCCAGAACCGTTCGTCATATGAATTAGGGGTAAAAAAAATTAAATCGCTGGAAAATATTTTCAAGTTCTAAAATGACTAACAGAGGGCGTAATTGCTATCTTAAATTTTAAAATTGCATTTTCTTTTAATTTCGCATATAAACTAAACATTCTTTTTTCACATTTTTAAAGAGAACCAGGTTTATCTAGGTATCATTTTCGTAAAAACAAAAACTCAGTTATTTCAAAAACAAAGATGGCGTGGGGCGTTCAATTGTTTTTTCGATAACTCGCTTTAACTTCTTAACCGTTTGAGCGATTTTAATAAATTTGGTATGGTTGAAAAGAGCTCTTTAAATTTTTTTTCGAATTTGGTTTCTAGTCTATAACTTTTGATTGAGAAGTCTGATCGAAAAAGTACGAATTGTTTTGGATTCTACGCACCAAAATTAATAAGAAAAAGTGTTTTCCCGAGAAATTTTGGTGCAGTCGATTTTTGGTAAAAAAGGAAGGTTATACACTGCCTTTTTTTGAGGCCCGAAGAAAAAATTGTCTCAGATCGACCCCGAAAAAAATTTTCTTACAGAATGTGGCATGTAGAATCAATAATTTCAAACAGTTCCAAGATTGGGCTACTAGTTCAAAAGTTACAGCCCTTTGAATTTTTTTTCGAATTTGGTTTCTAGTCTATAACTTTTGATTGAGAAGTCTGATCGAAAAAGTACGAATTGTTTTGGATTCTACGCGCCAAAATTAATAAGAAAAAGTGTTTTCCCGAGAAATTTTGGTGTAGTCGATTTTTGGTAAAAAAGGAAGGTTATACACTGCCTTTTTTTGAGGCACGAAAAAAAAATTGTCTCAGATCGACCTGGAAAAAAATTTTCTTATACAGTGTGGCCTGTAGAATCCACAATTTCAAACAGTTCCAAGATTGAGCTACTAGTTCAAAAGTTACAGCCCTTTGAATTTTCTTTCGAAATTGGTTTTTAGTCTATAACTTTTAATTGAGAAGTCTGATCGAAAAAGTACGAATTATTTTGGATTCTACGTACCAAAATTAATAGGAAAAAGTGTTTTCCCGAGAAATTTTGGTGTGGTCGATTTTTGGTAAAAAAGGAAGGTTATACACTGCCTTTTTTTGAGGTCTGAAGAAAAAAATTGTCTCAGATCGACCCGGAAAAAATTTTTTTTTATAGAATGTGGCCTGTAGAGTCCATAATTTCAAACAGTTCCAAGATTGGGCTACTAGTTCAAAAGTTACAGCCCTTTGAATTTTCTTTCGAAATTGGTTTCTAGTCTATAACCTTTTGATTGAGAAGTCTGATCGAAAAAGTACGAATTGTTTTGGATTCTACGCACCAAAATGAATAGGAAAAAGTGTTTTCCCGAGAAATTTTGGTGTAGTCGATTTTTGATAAAAAAGGAATGTTATACACTGCTTTTTTTGAGGCACGAAAAAAAAATTGTCTCAGATCGACCCGGAAAAAAATTTTTCTTATAGAATGTGGCCTGTAGAGTCCATAATTTCAAACAGTTCCAAGATTGGGCTACTAGTTCAAAAGTTACAGCCCTTTGAATTTTTTTCGAATTTGGTTTCTGGTCTATAACTTTTGATTGAGAGGTCTGATCGAAAAAGTACGAATTGTTTTGGATTTTACGCACCAAAATTAATAGGAAAAAGTGTTTTCCCGAGAAATTTTGGTGTAGTCGATTTTTGGTAAAAAAGGAAGGTTATACACGCTCTGGGCTGAAGGCATAGAATCAGGGGGTCTAGGGTGAATGGAATACTCTCCAGCAAATTAAAGTCTTATTATCCCTTCCCCTACGATTTCTGTGACAGTGCCAAGGGTTTCAACGTGTTTTTGATTTAGAGCAACAACACCTGTCGGGGGACTTGGAAGTGTAGAATAAGAATCTGGAAAATTAACTCACAACTGATCCCCTCAATCTCTATGGCGGTTACTGTTACTCACAAAACCCTTTGGAAAATTTAGTTGCAAAGTTTTTCACTCAGAAAACTGAAACTTTCCTTAAGTCTCTTAAAGTTCTTTTTCGAAAACGTCTCCATAAGAAAGCCTCTCAAATCTCAGAGGTTTTGGAGAACTTTATGCAACTCCCTCAAACCCTTCTTGCACAGGCTCTCCTGAGTCTTTCGCGAATTTCACGCATGGGCTTCCCAGGGAGTGCTTTGGAACTACTTTGAAACCCTAATTAAATCACGACACCAATAAACCTTTTTGAAACTCCTAGTTCGCTCCCTGAAATTTGTAAGATTACCAAATCTTGACTTCGAAGCTCATCAACGTCAATCTTTGTTGCAGCATGCCAGACGAACCATTGACCTTTGCTAGGTTAATTATCGCGATAATTTGCACGACCGTGACCATTACCCTGGGTTAAACTGGTGACTTAATTTTGAACTGCGACTGAAACGAAGTATTTACATCAATAGTTGCCTTATCACTTGCAATTATCGCGATAATTTACATCATTAGATTTCATTTTCAATTGTTGCAAGATGTGAAGTGATAATATAATAAACGCGATAATTCTATTTCAAATTCCTGTTTGTTGTTAGGACAAACATTGAAAGCACAGAAATCCCCGAACAAATGTGCCTTATTGCACCAATTTCATCCGCATTCCTTCGGAGAACTTAGCGATAACCCCCTTTTCAGTTCAAGATCGCAATAATTGACTTTCGTAAGGATTAATAAAATTATGCTTCATTGTAATTACTTTAAAACGATAACGAGATCTTCATTGCGAAAGGTCGATGGTACTTTGTGGTGGTCGAGACTTGTACTTTGTATCATTTGCTTTGGCGTCCTTTGAACTTCATTATAACTAAACTGACCGTTAATTGTATTATTAGAAGGTGTCATCATCCTATCGTCGAATACTGACCTGCTTTGTTCATTTGTTGACAGAAGCAGACGATAAGGCGCTGGTTTCAACTGGCAGAGTTACAAACGCGCAGGTGCCTGCCTTACCGACAAGGAGCGACACCTACCGAGAAAACAAACAGCCTAGAAAACAATTTTTGC